GCCACCGAGGGGCGGCGGCTGGGGGCGGGGCCGGGAGCGGTTCCCTGAGCCTGGTTACCAGGGGCGGCGTGCCGCCAGTGCGCCGCGCCCGCGGGGGGCTCCGGTTAAAGGCGCCGCACTCCAGCACCGCTGCAGGTGGAGGGGCGCTGCAAGAGCTGGGGTGTGGGGGCCTCGGAAAGGTGAGAGGGGCCTGGAGAAGGAGGAAGGTCCGGGGCTTAAGAAGGCGGGGTACGGGGAAACGAATTCCCTGGCAATAGGGTTGCCGGCGAGCCTGGACGTCGATTCATTTTTCTTTTCCTCCCAGTGAGTCTTGTGGGGGCGACTGAGTTGACCGTAATCCTTCAGCGGACGTTGGGCATCTCGGTCATTTGAGGTGGCCTGCCAACATGCACCTGCCGCCTCTCCCTCTTAGTACTCCTCGGAGGGCCCTGCCCCCTTTTACAAAGAGAGAAACTGAGGTCGTCTTCCCAGACCCTGAGTCTCACTTGATGGAAGCGAAAAGAACCCTGGCTTGAGGACGGGAGCTCTGGGTCTCAGTTCCCGCCTGGAGGGAGGCCTTGGCAACTTCCTGCTCAGCAGCAGCCTCAGTTTCTTCATTTGAACGATAGGCCAGAGCTGGACAAGCCCAAGGAAAGGACGGGATCAGGTATCGCTGGTCCAGGAGCCGCTCTCTCTGCCCTTTCTCCTGACTCATATCCTGGGTCCTGTGGTTCCCCTGAGCAGTCACTAATACACACAGGGTGAGCAGCGCTGGACCAGCCCAGCTCTCCAAGAGCTTAGGTTTGCTCCTCCGTCCTCAGTCTCCATTTCTGGAAATCGGGGTGTTGTCTATCCTTCCAACCTGCGTGCACAACGTTCAGCACGGTTAATACTCGTTATACTGTTACCATTGGGAGCAGCGGGGGAAGGGAACGCTACCTGGTCAAGGATGAGGCTGCAGGACAGAACCTCAAGGAGTTCCCCTGGGACGGTGCCCGGGGCGGAGCTGGGCGGGAGTCGGGGGTGAAAGCGTTGTCAGAGGCTCTGTCCCCTGAAGGATTAGAGGATCGTCTTCCAGACCGCAGCCGGCTCCTGCAGGGAGCGACGGTCCGGACAGCCAATCAGAGGCGAGGACGGCTTCGGGCGGGGCTCCCATTGGCTTTCTCCATCCCAGAGCACGGGGGAATCCTTTTATCAAGTGCCTCGCTCCAACCCGAGCTTCCAAGGTCCCTGCGCACCGGTCCGAGGACTGAGGTCCGGGGAGGGCTCGCAGGGAGTCGCCCGCAGCCGCACAGCCTGACCCTTGCCCCACCTCCCCGACCTGTCCCCCGCCCAGTCCCGCCATGGCCTTCTGGACGCAGCTGATGTTGCTGCTCTGGAAGAACTTCGTGTACCGCCGGAGACAGCCGGTAATGCTCGGTGCGCAGGGCGGGGAGGGCGGGGCCCCGGCGCCCCCCACTACCTCCCGCCTGTTCTCCCCAGATCCAGCTCCTCGTGGAGCTACTGTGGCCCCTTTTCCTCTTCTTTATCCTGGTGGCCGTGCGGTACTCCCACCCGCCCGTGGAGCACCATGAATGTAAGACCCCCAAGTCCAGGCGCTTGGTGTGAGGGCCCCATCCTCAGGGCGCTGGGTTCTGAGCGTGCTGTCCCTTGGCTGGAGGGGTGCAGTTGGTGGGGACTCGGGCACAGGCCGAAAAACCTCCAAAGCCAGGCGTCGCCCTGCAGGCCACTTCCAGAACAAGCCGCTGCCGTCGGCGGGCACCGTGCCCTGGCTCCAGGGCCTGATCTGCAATGTGAATAACACCTGCTTCCCGCAGGCCACACCCGGCGAGGAGCCCGGGTCCCTGAGCAACTTCAAGGACTCCCTGTGAGTAGGAGGCGGTGGGCGCGGCAGGGACGGGCTTTGGGTGGGGCAGTGCCACCTCCTACCCGCCTACTTCTCCAGGGTCTCTAGGCTGCTGGCTGATGCCCGCAGGGTGCTGGGGGGCCCCAGTGCCCACCGGACTCTGGCTGGCCTGCAGAAGCTGATGCCCACGCTAAAGGCTGCCCACACAGCAGGTGAGTAGGCTCTGGGCCTCAGCTTAACCAGCTGGGAGATGGCCCCGGGGTGCAGAGGGGGCTCCCGGGCCGAGGTTTGCCGGACCCGACCCGCATCCAAGCATTCTTCCCCCAGTCTTGCATCACCATGGTGTCCGGCGGCTGGATCCCCCCTCACTGGCCGCAGAGCTGCTGACGACGCTGCTCCGAGGGGTGAGGTGGGGCGGGTGGGCCACGACAACCCTGGGGTGCTCCTCAGCTGGGCCAGCACCTCCCAGCCCTGCCTCCTGCCAGGGCTGGCCCAGGGCCCAGGGTGGGGCGAGGCTGGCACTGTAGTGGACCGCCCACTGAGAGACCGCACCCTGCCTCCCCGCCTGTAAAGCGGGGACTCTGGTAGAGTGGGCTACCTGGCATATGGTACAGCACTGGACCCCAGGTGCTCAGTCACCTCACGGTCACTCTCGTCATCTCTCCCCAGGAGTCCCTGGGGCCTGTGCTGGGCCAAGCCCAGGAGTCCATGCGGAGCTTTGCAGAGGCCGCGGAGGACCTGGCTCAGGAGGTAGGAGGCCATGCCTGTACTGTCCCACCTGGACTGGGGTGGCGGCGCAGCCCCGGCAGGCCTGAGGGGAGCCTTTCGGAGGTGGGGGGCGCCTGCCCTGGGCAAGGGTTGTGAGGACTCGGGTGATCTCTGCAGCTCTTGGCGCTGCCCAGCCTGGCGGAGCTCAGAAGACTGCTGCGTGGCCCCCGAGGGACAGGCAGTCCCCTGGAGCTGGTCTCAGAAGCCCTCTGCAGCGCCAAGGGGCCCAGCGCCCCGGGGGGGCCCTCCCTCAACTGGTACGAGGCTGACAACCTGCGGGAGCTGGTGGGGCCGGAGCCGGCATCCGCTCTGGTGGATAGCAGCCTGAGTGAGTGACCCTGCTCCCCCTCTGGGAGATGGGGCTGTGGGCTGGGCTGGGCCTCATGGCACCCCCAACCAGGCCCCGCCTGCTCGGAGCTGTTGGGGGCCCTGGACGATCACCCGCTGGCCCGCCTGCTCTGGAGACGTCTGAAGCCGCTGATCCTCGGGAAACTGCTGTTTGCCCCCGACACGCCACTCACAAGGCAGCTCATGGCCCAGGTGGGGGCCCGCGCTGGACGGGGTGGCGGGGTGGAGGTTAGAGCAATGCAGCTCGCCAGCCCAGGTGGGTCAGGCCGGGTGCCCAAAGCTGGGCGGTGCAGGAGTTTGCCAGTGTGGACAGAGGCCCAGAGGGGAGCAGGCAGGGGCAGGGAGGACAGGGCGGAGGGCCGGTTCATCTTCCGCCCGCCCCTCCGCCCTGCAGGTGAACCGGACCTTCGAGGAGCTGGCTCTGCTGAGGGACATCCGGGAGGCCTGGGGCGTGCTGGGACCCCAGATCTTCGCCTTCATGAACGACAGTGCAAACGTGGCCCTGTTACAGGTGAGGCCCCATGGAGGCTCCGCGCGGGGGGGGGAGGTCCCATTCCCAGCAGGGGCCACCGGAGAATTGGGGTCTGAGGTGTGGATATGGGAAGAGGGCCTCATGCAGAACCCCACCTTCACCTGCCGCCCGCAGGCGCTGCTGCAAATGCAAGGTACTGAGAGGCAGCGGCCAGGATCCGGGGGCCAGGACGGGGCAGAAGTCCTCCGCGCCTTCCTGGACCCCAGCAGGGGCGGCTACAGCTGGCGCGAGGCCCATGCTGATGTGGGGCTCCTGGTGGGCACGCTGGGCCGAGTCATGGAGGTCAGGGCCTGGCTCTGGGTGGGAGGCAGGCCCTGTCCTGGGAACCCGGGGGGAGCGGCAGCCCTGTCCTGCGGGAGACGCCTGGCCTTGTGGAGGTCAGAGTGGGGAGCCGCCCTCTGGGGGGATGTGAGGGCGGACACGCGGCCCAGCCCCGACGTCCCGGGAGGAGCGGCGGGGGCTCGGCCGGGGCGCGGGGTCACACCAGCATTGCAGCG